TCATTTTTACATGTAGTATATATATATATATGTGTTCAAATAATCAAATATTATTGATATATAAAGATTTACTTGTAAACTGGTTCACAATATGGTAAAAATCCAGATCTTAATGCAGTTGCAACTGAAGATAGACATTCCAATAATGGGAAAAGATCCTTATCTTCATCCTTTAAAACATTCCATTTGGTGATCAATGGTGGCATCAGAAGATTTATATAATCTGGTTTGTTTAAATGATGGCCCACTGAGTCGGCTAATGTGCCGATTGCGTCATATAATATTAAAAGATTTTTATGCTGATATTTACCTAAAAGAAAAGTTCGATTAATTTTATTAGTAATTAACAAAATAAATTCCATCAGTAATATTTTCAAATACTTACTAAAAGCAAAAACAAGCGTCTCAAGAATAAATCCAAGATAGGGTACTAATTCTGTACAAGCCTCTTCTTCCAACGTAGCAAATGCTGAACATGCCGCTTCTTGGACACGTTTATTACCATCTAGTACCTTTTTAAGAAGTTCTGTCATTAAAGGTTTTAAATGGGTATCGTGTGGCTGAGAACAAACCCAATGAGCATAACGACTTAAAGTCCAACAAGTAATAGCACGCACGAGTGCTTTTTTATCGCTGAGACAGCTAATCAAGTATGGTATTAGCTCTGATAAATGTGGAATCATTCCACTCATGCATCCTATAAAAATAAATATAAATATATTATTGATACTGAAAAAATCTAAAAATATTTGCACATAATAAATGATTGTACCTTCAGCGATAGCTCCAAGAGCCAATATGCCAGATTCTTTGATTTCCCAATCTTGATGGAACAAAGTTTCCTTCAAGATAGGCACTAAAACTGGCAAAAGTTCTTCTCTGAATACATTTGCTAACATATCTAATGCGGCTGCTGAGCATTTTCGTAAATTCCAATCACTGAGTGACGAGTCATCATCAGATCCATCTTCACCATCAATATCATCATCATCTCCACCATTTTCATCTGAGTGTTTGTTCATATTGGAATGATGCGAATGATGTGTTTTAGATTTATGAAACCTTGGTCGTATATCTTCCTCTCTATCCGGGATCATTTCGTCTTCTTCTACATCTCCTTTGAGAAGTATTATATCAATTTCAGAGTATTTCATACCTCGTACCTGTTTAGAAAAAGAAACACCGTTTATTTTTTCTATGTTAATATTGATTTGTCTTCATATCGTTGAAAAATAAATTCATTTACCAAAATGGGCACTAATCGCGTCAAATGGGGAAGAAGTGCATCTTTACAGATTTGTTGTTCTGCCAAAGAAAGCCAAAATTCGCAAGCTTCTAATGCAACTCCTTCATCTTGATCTTGAGTTCTCATTAACATGTACTCTATTATGTTATGCATATTTGGAAGTAATCTATCCATTCGAACTTCAAGCAACATTACTAGAGCCCTTTGAAAATAATTTCATAGCATAATTTTCAAATTTCGTTTTTCAGGGAAAGGAAAGGAAAGAAAAACAAAAAAATTCATTTTCGTTCTAGCAATACCTGCAAACATTTTTTCTGACATCAGGATCATCGTCAGAAGCTAAATGGAAGAGATTGTCCAGAAAACTATCTATATGTAACATAAGTGCCTGTGTACGAGTGATTATGAATTGATTAACGCAAGCTATTGCATGTGATCTAATTTTTGGACTTGTATGTCTGAAAAATTGCAAGAATTTTGGAATTAAAACGTTCAATGGTCTATTGAGTGCATCAGAATCTAATATCTCAGCGGAGTCCTCGCAAATCTTTTGAAGAGCACCAAAAGCTCCTTCGCAGACGTTGTAATCTTGCGAATCCAACATTTGACAAAGAGCCGGTAATAGTTCGGGCCATGTTGTTAACGAACCTGTTTTTATAGGTTAGTTTAGTATAATATCATTTCATTTGAATCATTTCTTATAATCTAATGTAATGTAATAAATTATGCTTACCCTTCGATGCTACAGTGGTAATTAAAATACCAACAGTAGCACGAATCAATGCTGAAGGATCTCCAATGGCGGATAAACATTCTTGTTTTATAAAATCGGTAACTTCGGGCATAAATTTATGAAAGTGAGCCTTAACATTGTTCTTCAATATTAACCCACTGAGTGATCTTGTAGGTTCATCTTAATACAAGAAAAACAACAAATTGCAATTATTTCTTTTCATATAGTACAACAGTTAACAACCCCCCCCCCAAGAAAAATTCATTTATTACAATGTTGACATTATTTTCTTACCTTCAGATACAAGTTTGGTCAAGATAAAGATGAGATAATTATTGAAGTCTGGAAATTTGTTAAGTTCTTCCAATTTCTAATACAATTTATTAAGGAAAACAAAATTCAAGTTTTCTTTTCTTTGTATTATTAACACAAGAAGAAAAAAAGGATATATGCGTGTAAGAGTGCGTGTAACATATATGATGCACGCGTATGCATTAATAACACATACATACATAGAAAAATATTGATAAAATACAAGAATTGTTATTTATAAACTTAATATTATTTATATATATATATATATATATCATCAGAATATGCTGTATAAAATAAATCATAAATTTTGATTGAAATAAGAAGGACAATTAATTCGTAAAATAAAAAGGAAATACATTCTTTCATTTTATTTCAATATAAGAAAAGGGAAAGAAAGGAAATGGAATTTGCACACAGAGACAGACAGACAGAGACACATACGCCGCCGCCATATATAATTTGTATATTCCACTTGTGAATGTATATATATGTGTGTGTATACATATATATATATATATAAATTAATAGAAAAAAAATAGATAGATAAATACATTGTAAGTGATATCGAAGTATCTAGAAAAAAAAAGGTAGATTATTGTTTACTGATAAAAAAAAAAAAACCGTTCATATAATGAGCATCAAGAGAATCGACATTTCGTGTAACATATTTTCTTGGCGGTAGAAACTCTCTCTCTCTCTCTCTCTCTCTCTCTCTCACACACACACACACGTGTTGAAACATTATTCGAGAAAAGAAAAAGAAAAGAAAAGAAAGAATGAGAGAAAGAAACTAAACTAAACTAAATGAAACGAAACGAACAAAACGATCGACGCGCTGTTACACATTTCATTCTAAAACTAATCGATGAGTCAAAATAAATGTTGAGAATAAATATGACGCGTAAGTATCGATACGAATTGAATAATAAAAGTTAAATAAAATAAAATAATAATAATAATTTCGTTAAAAATGATTAAAATAATACGAATAACGGATTAAACATAAAAGTCGAAGCATGACAAGCTGCGCAAAAGCACGCCGATTTGACATGTTCATACGCATAGGCAACGCACGCACGCACGCACACACACATGCACGCATCATCATACATAAGCGTACGCGCATATATATATATATATATTCGCGTACAGAATGGACGAAGCAAGAATTCGTGAACGTGACGGAGGGGGGAGAGAGAGAGAGAGGAGGGGAGGGGAAGGGAGGATCAACGAGAGAACATTTTGGCTACGATTAAAATTATTTCTTATGGAAGGACGATAATCGATCAAATAATAAATTGAATAAAATCAATAGAAAGAAGAGAAAAGAAAAATATATATATATATATGAAATTTCTATTCTATCGTATTATTTGGACAGCATTCATCGGCGTCCCAATATCTTATAAGCGACCGGGAAAAGGCACCACAAACCGTTCCGTATTTTTGAAACTTCAACGAAATAATTTGGCAATAAGTCGATGTTTAAAATAAATGTTAATTAATTGAAAAGGATACTTGCTGTACAGCTCTTTGAGTTTCAGTATCCGGACTCTGTGACTCCTTAAGAAGCGTAAGGATTTGCCGAAGTCCTTCCTCTTGAGGTTGCCACGCCATTTTCATCGTGTCTATAAGCACAACTGATCTATGTATCCAGCCTTCTCTGAGCTCACGAACGGAAGCTCTCTACGGTTATCCCCACCACTGTGCCACGAGAGCATAGCCTCTACTACCGCCGGTTACACTTTCCCTCCTGTCGTTGGTTGATTAAACTTGAAATATAATAAATACTTGTTTCATTGAAATTGAAATGATAATATTTAATTATTAAAATTAATTCAATGAACATTATACATCTTACCAAGTCTATATTTGTAGATTTACGTTGATTCGTTGCAATAAGACAATTGAACGTTTTCATATTCGCTCCTTGATTAGTACGGCGGAATGCAACTTCCGGTTATCGTAGCGCCGCCTATCGATCGACCCTCAGTCCATCGTTCCTTCGTCCAATATCATTTTCTTTTGCATTTTCAAAATCGATAGTTTTCTTATTCCCTTTTCTTTTCTTTTTTTTTTTTTTTACCTTTCTATCTACCTTATGTATCATGCCTACATATTAAGACTGTCCAATATAAATCCATGCGATATTTTTGTCATTTATTTGTTTAAACAATAATCACTTGTATTTATTGGACAAGCTAATATTTAGAAATTATTTTTAAACATAACATAACATATATATATATATATATATATATATAT